TGCGCCACCACAAAATACCATCTGTCTCCACCTAAGCAGCGCTCAAACATTGTTTCAACTTAAATGAAAGTTAAAGTTAAAGTTGGCATTGGCAGACAAGCATAGAAACAAAAGCTGGGAGCACTGCCATGTCTGCAGTATTAGCTCCTGCCCTACTGTTCAACATTAATAAGCATTAAAGGCCTTCTGGTAACAATACTGTGCAATAAAATACCATACCAAACTATTTTCTGAGTAAATGCTTCACAAGCATCTTAATCAGCAATATTTTGTTTGCTATTAAAAGAGAAGATGACAAATAAGCAAGTGAGTGGAAATATACAGAAGGAGCTCTGGCTGTTATCTTTGGCTGTTGGTTCAGAAAGGCAGAGCTTTAAAGAAATAACTCCTCCACAGCCAAAGTGCTGAATGTGACGCCTCTACAAGATGGATGAGGGTCATCAGAACGAGGCATATAAAGACCTGGCTGCCACTCAGTCGTACTGTTGCTGCACTTTGGTGCTGCACAGAAAAAACAGAGCAGATATTGTACCACAGTATTGCACTTAATCATGCACACATTAGCTGGAAAGTATTCAACTCTGTAACCTTGTAAATTTCAAATTCATTCCATTCAATCCTTTTGAGTAAAACCACCCCATGGACTCCATAAAAAAATTAACTACTGGACATAAAAGTGTAATCATACCATATATCAGGTTGCTGATACTGTAAATTAAATGTATATCGACTGTTTTATGTAGGATTGTTTGATAGGCCCTTTGATTTGTGTCACACTAGGTGACTTTGTACTTTGGCAGCCCTACGCTACAGTGAGAGCTGTCATCGGTATTTTAATTTATTTTTTACTTTTGAAGGAGTTGATAGCCAAGAAATGTCAGAAGAGATTCTGTCACTGTCAGCTGCTGTATTTCACATCATAATTTCTTTTATCGCTTCCTGAGCAGAGAGAATAATTCCTCCTGCTGGATATTAGAGAGGAATTTGGGCAAATAGAAATGAGTCTGCTGCTGTGAGATTTATGAGGATGTATTTTTTACATTAAAGTCTGACCTTCTCTCTATTATAAGATATTAGTGTGTTTTAGGGCTGCAACTAATTAATTTCTTTCTTTATCAGTTAATCTGCCAGTTGTGTTTTTGATTTAGAAATGAATGATTTGGTCCATAAAATATGCAAAAATAGTGAAAAATGTCCAAAAAATACAAATATTTTGTTTTCTTGTTTTGTCCGACCAACAGTTCAACACAGATACTTATATCATAATAAGATATAACCGGATACATTGGGCAGCCACGTGCTGTAGTGTTGGTGTTATTAGACCAAAACAAACAAAGACAGAAATACATGAAATGGACACGTCTTAACAATGGATTTTGTTGTGATGGGTATGAAATGAGTTGTGCTGGCAACAATGCAATGCAAAGTCTATTATAAATTGGTTGGAGTTTTGTTGTGAAACAGTCACAGTTTGGTTTGGTTTCGGGTAGAAAAACACTCAGTTAGGTTTAGAGAATGAGCAAATACTTGGTTAAGTTTAGGGAAAGACTGTGGTTTACATTAAGAGAACTATGTACAGGACGTTCAGTAACAAAGAGTTACATACTTTGTGAAGTACTTTCAGTAGTGCTGTAAGGTCCATAAAGTAATGTCACTACTTTGACTTTTGGTTTCATGTTACACAAACAGCGGTCTCCTGGTTAAAAGTCCATGTTTGTTTGACCCATCCACCAACCCTTTCTGCCCACTCTACAGACTTTTTTGATCTTTATACCTCATTTGTGTGTCCACCACAACATTAGGTCCTCACTGGCTCTGCATTGCATTGTTTTCATGTTGCCAGCATATTATTTTAACTCTTTTCATGCCCACCACCAAATAATGCTTCGTTAAGAGTTTGTGTCCATTTCATCTATCTCTGTCAGTCTCTCCAGGATTTTCGGAAATTTGGAGATCCTAATTCTATGGAAAACACTGAATGCCCATAAAAATAAGCTCTGAATTTGAGACAGCATCACAGCTGTTTTTGCAATTTTCATTTTCCCCTGCAATTTCATTGTAAAAAATGCCCATAAACATTATAACATTCATCAAAGCTACCATAAAATCAGGCATATAACACCTTACAAAATCCTGGAGGAACTTTTCTATGCGCAAGACTGAACAGTCACAGTAAGAAACACTTAGGAGGATACCTGCTTTTATAAAACAGTGTGAACAAACTGAAAACTCTTAAATATTAAGGACAAGCAAAGGATAACTAACAAGCTTCCTGGTGAGCCAAAGAAGTGTCAGTGTCGAAATAATGTTTGTAATTTATTCAATTGTGCTTGTTGTTACTTGGCCAGAAGGTTAAAAAAGGTATGTGGTAATGGAGACATACAAAATGATTCCTTTCTATACCAGAAGTGACTTAAAGGTATAGTTCTACACAAAAATCAAGAATATATTTTTCCTGTAGTGCTTGTTATCATCTGAGATTGGTTTGGTGTAAGTTGCTGAGTGCTGGAGATATCAGCTGTAGAGATGAGCAGTTCTATGAGGGGACTATTTTCTCTCTACCGAACTCCGAACTACACCTGTGAATTGTATCACTGTGCAGAAAGAAGCGTGCATCTAATGCTAGCTCACCTAGCATCACGAGCTAGCTAACGCTCAGCTGTGGAGAACTCCATAAATGCATTGCCACAAGCCTCTTTTTTTTTTTTAAAGATATTTTTTGGGGCTTTTTAGCCTTTAATGGATAGGACAGACAAGCGTGAAGGGGGTAGAGAGAGAGAGGGAGTGACATGCAGCAAAGGGCCACAGGCTGGAGTCGAACCCAGGCCACTGCGGCAACAGCCTTGTACATGGGGCGCCTGCTCTACCACTAAGCCACCAGTGCCCCTGCCACAAGCATCTTGACCATGAGTAGATGCACTCTTCCTTCTGCGTTGATACGGTTGGTAGGTGTAGTACAGTAGAAAGAAAATAGGTCCTACATGAAACTGGTACAACAACAAGGTCTTTGGATTGAGTAACCAGGTCATGACTACTGGAAATACACATTAATGTTGAGTTTTTCATATGTATTTTTGAGCACAACAAGCTGAGTGCCATCTAGTTTTAGAAGACATCTCTATCTCCAACACTCAGCAACCCACACCAGAATGATCTCGATTGATAAATAGCACTACAGGTAAGAGGGAGAAATATGTATTTTTTATTTGGGGGTGAACTGTCCCTTTAATGATATGACATGCTTATTATTCCTGATTTTTGTTTAGTTCAAGCTATTGAGTGAGTTCTCCAATGAACCTTTGAAGCCCACAATTCCCTTTACTGTTGTTGTAACATCTCTTGAGAGACAGCAATCTATAGAGTCTGGTTTCTCACCTCATTTTCCCTTTTCCTAAATTCCCATTTTCCCCCTTTTCCCTCTTCAATTTGTCTTTTACTGTGGTTTAAAACAGAATCCTTCCACAAACACCGAGGCATTTGGACATGAGGTAGTGAGAGTCATTTTTGGCTGCAGCCACCTCGAAAAGTCAAATTCACATCCAACTTTTTTTTTTCTTCCTCACATGGACACACTTTTTAAATGGACATCATGTGTGCAGTTTAATTTTCGTAAAAACAAAGTGGGCCAGACGATCCGTGATTTGTTTAAACTAGGAGAGTTTACATGACAGAATACAAGAGTGGAGGGAATTCAACTACAGCCCTTTGAGATTTGTGAGTTTGCCAAATTTTAAGGTGCGCTAAAAAAAGTTTCCCTTCTTCAAATGTAAAACACGAGCGGGTTAAGAGACGGGTTCCTGCAAGGACACTTGGGAAGTACCAGCCTTTCTGGATTCAAGAGCAGCTGTAAAGATTAAGCCCCTCTGAGAGAGGCATAAAAGTTGGAAGATAAAGCTTGTCTGTTACGGTTAGTCCAGGGTGTGTGTGTGTGTGTGTGTGTGTTTGTGTGTGTGTGTGTGTATATATACACACATGTGCATTAATGCTGAAACAACCCAACTTTTGGCAGGAAACACTGACAGTTGTAAATCGTACAGGGCCAGCATCCATGCGTTCATCTGTTTGTACTCATCTTGTCTCTCTTCTTCATAATCGCTTCAATTGTAGTGACCAATAACATTTTAAAAAACCTTTGTTAGTTGCATTTTTTCCACTTTCATAAAAAAGGCACATGGTAAACACAGATTTGGTGATTTGCAGGTCAAAAAGACGTCAGCATGTTGAGGTTAAAACTGCTGGAAAATAAGTTGCAATAATTGACTTATTGACACTTGATAGTAGAAGAACTTCACACAAAGCGCTGATATATTTTATCTACTCAAGTTGTTGTGCCAGCAAACATTTGCCAATTTAGGCCCCAATCACACAGAGAGTGTTTTGCAAGATGCAAAACACGAGGTGCGCTGCACTGCCTTTTTTTAAATTGGATGCCACTTGTGGAAAAAAACGCTTGCTGTGCCTTTTTATTATTGCCAGGCAACCACAGACTCACCTCCTTCCTGTGTAATCAATCTACCGTTTATTTATTTATTTTATTTATTTGACAGTAATTAGTATCTAGTTCTTAAAATGTTGAGGCAAAGGGTACTTGCTGTAGCTCTGGTTGAGGATGAGAGACTCTCAGTTGGGCACAGGGAAACGGAGATCTGTGTGGGTACATGAGACCCTAAAAAAAGAGGGTGGATCACGGGGAGTACCACGAGTTGGTCCAGGAGCTTCGCCTCCATGACTGCTGTTTCCAGGCATATACTGGGAAGACTCAGGGGCAGTTTGACAACCTGCTGTCTACTGTCGGGCCGTATAGCTCTGGGTATCCAGCAACTCAAGGAGTTCAGAGCGTTCTAGCAAAAACGGCAGGCACCTAGAGCACAGAAACGCTAGGCGCGTTGCAACACAAAAATTGTCAGCAAAAAGCTTCTTTCTCACAATTACAAAAAGCCTGTTAAAACAGCTGTTAAAACGCTTTCTGTGTGATCAGGGCCTTTGGAGTCATGTTTCCATCAACCTGATGGATGTAAGTCCAATATTCACTCTCCTTTTAGCTCTGTTTTGGTCTGCACCAGTGATACTCAACTAATGATCTGTGGGCCCGGCACCTGTGATAAGATGCTGGGTGACCCACCAACCATTTTCCAATTCAGAATATGAATAAATTGACTCACACTGGGAATTTTAGTACTTTGAATGTAAATGGGGTGCCAAATGTGCCAGCTGGCTACAACCTGAATGTCCTCAAATCCTAGAAACGCCCCTGCGTACACCTGATATGTATGATATGATACTTCTAAGCAAAGATGAGTGAGGACAGCAAATATCATAAGGCTGAAAACAGGAAATTTGTTTTTTATATATATTTATACATAGATATATATATATGTTTTATTATAAATTGCCTCATGGCCTCCTGTCATTTTGTAAAAGTGGCCCCTGAGCAAAGCAAGTTGAGTATTGCTGGTCTCCACCAACATCTCAGAAAAATATTGGGCTTATTATCTGGTAAAAGTTCACCAGCTTGTCAACAACTTTTTGTGTCTGTCTTTTGTCACTGGGCAGGTGACATAAAGAGGGTTTGTGAGAACTTTTTTTTTTTGACCAAAAACAGCTTCCTGTTGTGGCTAGAGATAAAGCTGATGGCAGCATAGTCTGAGGACTGAACCCCCCCCCCCGAAAACACCCAAATCAAAACACCAAAACAATAAGCTATGTACAGATGTATGCTAGGTATTAAGTCTCTGTGTATAAAAAGTTTCACACGATTACGCTAATTAAAAGTTAGCGACAGTAATGTACAAATAAAGGCAGCAATTTGCCGGCAAAGGCAAAGGAGGGGAAGACTGCTAGCCAGCAAACATAGATGTAAACAAAGCATGATTCAAAATATTCTGATTATGATTAAAAAAATGCCTTGGAAAGGTTTTATGATGAAGGAAATGTACTCAACGTGTTTGTTAGACTTCAAGGATACACATTATCTAGTTTTAACTCGCCAGCTTCTGACCTGTAAATCATTAAACGACTGCTTCCTGGGTAATGCTATATGATGTATAATAAGGCAACTCTGTGTATGTCAGGCATCACTCAAAAGCCATTCCTGCCCAGTACTGTGAGGAGCAGCTGCCTGTAAATGAAGGATCAGTTTGACTCCGTCATGTCTGTTTCTTTATGTGCTGTTTCAGTGCCTCAGACACTTGAAGACAAATGAAGACACTGAGATGATGAAGTTGTTGGATTAGTTTCTAATCCACACTGGAGGTCAAAACAACAATCCTGACCCCAGACGAGCCTCCAAGGGCAGATGGACCCTGTGAAAGCTGAACTTCAGCCCTCATTGAAAAACGGTGAGCTCTGTAATTCAGAGTGATGAAGAGTCCTGTCGTGCAATCTTCCCCAGCTCATATGGTTCAAAGGTTGAAAATCTGTGCTTTTTCTTTTCTCCCATGATCCAGTTTTGTAGCAAAAACGATCAAATGTTTAATCATGAACGTTCCAAAAAAGCTGTCGATTTAGTTCGTGCACAACATGGAGGTTTGTCACTTTGTTTGCAGGTTAAAAAAAATACACTGCAAATGTGTCATTCCTGGCGATGGTTGGACATTGGGCACCTTGTAGCTTTTCAAAAGTTGAAGGCACTGTTAGAGATGCTTGCAGCAGTGACAGGATCATAAAGGTTTAGGTGACGCAGGTCACACCAGCATCCTCCACGTGGCCACAATTGGTTTTGCCCCATCCAGAAAACTTACACTGGTGGATGGTGTCTTCAGTCCCTGTACACGCTACGTCATCCATCCAGATCAGACCAGTACCTGCACAGAGAGAGGCAAAGAATTTATACACTGTAGTGTGCAAAATGGACAGTTTGTTTAATTTATACATACAGGACCAAGCTCTGAACTGTGTAGAGTCTGCTATGATCTCTTGAACCGTCATTGAGTCAACTCACGTATAAAGTTTCTTTAAAGGCAGAGACTGCAGGTGAATGCTGGAGTGATGGTCAGAATGAGAGCTGGACATTTTTCCCATCATACATTAATGGCCAGGTTGAGAGTATGTGTTGGGTAGGTGTTGGAGGGAGTATCTCGCAAAAGTAGCTGTGCAGCTCAAGTTGACTGTCTGAACTAGTTTGGAGGCTTCACTTAATTAAATGCTGAACCTTTTCCCTTGTTTTTGTTTTCTGTTTTCTTTCCTCCCATCTGTTTTCCTTTGTTTTTCCTGTCTGGATTTTATAGTTCCTGTTTTGTTCCTACTTTGCTTACTGTAAAGTGAAAACCCCCAAAATATATATTTTCTAAAGAAGTCTTAAATGTCAAAAATTCCAAGGGTGTAGTTTTGGTTTCAGATGTTTCCATAATAACGGTTGTAAAACAAAAATAAACAAACAAAAAATATGATGTAAAACTCTGCACTGTAACCCTACTTACCTTTGTTTACTACAATCTTCAGTACAAAGAACTCCAGTGTGTCCACTTCGGTGTGTAGGATTCAGGGGGATACATTGGCAGAAATGGAATATAAAATAATATGTCTTTAGCGTATAATCACCTGAAAAATAAAAACTGTTGTGTTTTTGTTACTTTAGAATGGGCAATTCATGTCTACATAGGGAGTGGGGCCTTGTCTACGGAGATTGCCATGTTGCACCGCCATGTTTCTACAGTAGCCCAGAACGGACAAACCAAACACTGGCTGAGTTTTTTTTTTTTAACAAGAAACTGCTTCATTGTTTTACCAGTTTAAATCACCAGGTCTGTTTGTTTTTGGAGAGTAAGAGACCTCTGCTTGGCTTGTGGTAAAAACCTCCTGTATTTCTAGATCTTAAGTTATCAGAGAAAAAAGGTGAGCACACATTAGCAGGAGCTGGACTAGCGACCCGTCTGTGATGAGCCAAATAGCGTTGGAGAAACACTAATCGGAGAAGTGAAACTGCTTCATTTAGACCTCAAAACCTCCTGAACAATGAACACTGAAGGAATTCTAACCGGGAGAAGTTTCAGCTAGTTGTAATCTGCAATCCTCACCACTAGATGTCGCTTAGTCCCCCTAAATCTTACACACCTTTCCTTTAATTATCTAGTCTTTGACTTAAATTAAATTCCTGCATGTTTTAGGGCAATATTAACTGCAGATAAAAACAGAGATTAATTTCTTAACCTGAAAAATGTAGCTGTCAGTACCTTTTTGTCAGCTTCGAGTACTGTCTGCAGGTATTTCCCTCAACAACCTTCCCTAAAACCATCATCTTCGTTTCAAACACTGTGCAGTTCTTGAATTTTACAGCAGATATATATTATAAAATTATTTATTCTTGACTTTCGCAGTGCTTGTTTTTTCGGTTTTTCTTTTCTCTTACTATGTTTATTTTGACTAATATGCACCAAAACTACTAAAGCAAAATCCTTATATGTGAAAACCTACTTGGCAAAAACGATTGCTGATTCTGAATCAAAAAAGTAGGGCAGCCTGTATGTATCCTGGGAGGGAAACCCAAAACCGAAATAAAAAGGATTGTAAGAGGTGGAAATTACACGCCTCAACAAACTCCCTTTTCCAGGAAACTCAAAGAGATGCTTCTCATACAGTGCAGTACACTGGTAAAAATGTGAAATGCAACAAATGGAAAAAAACTCATTTCCGAAGTTTTCTCTATCATTACAAAGATCAAAAAATCCCATCTGGACTTCGACGCCAGCGGTCCAAGTTCAGTGTTCCCTCTGATGGCTCATTCATGCATCACTTTCCCTCTCGTTAATCTCCGCAGTCAAAATGATGCAACTGTGGCCAAAGAGAGTGAATTTGTTTACTACTGCTTGTTGGAGTTGCTTGTTAATCACCAGCTGAAATATGTATGCACCATGCATCGTGTTTAGGTCCAAAACTGATAGAAATCACATGTAAACTAACTCAACATAAACACATCCTGAGTACAGAACATTTATTTGTTGTTGAGGGATGTAGAAATCAAAAACTTCCCCACATTGTTTCCAAAGTAACAAAGTCTTTAGCTGCATTGTCGTTGTGTGAGAAGAGGATTATGTGGAGGACACACCTGCAGCTTGTGTCCTTCTCTTCTTACATTTCAAGAACTAGTTGTAAATTCTTGTGTTCAGGGACTTTGTGTCATTATTTCTCTGGTCTTTCTCTGCTTCTTGTCCCAAATGTTATTGTTTTAAGAAGGTTAAAGGGTTCAAAAGAAGAATGTTATTAGATATAAAACACAAAGTGTCATCTTTAAAAGTGTTTGTGTGAGTCCTCTGATTGAGACATCAAGTACTCCTCACAGAATCGTTGGTCAAATAATACTGCATCCGGTAATAAAACGCACAGTTCCAGCTGGTAAGCAGAGCTTTTGGCAGTGTTGTTTTTTGCTATAAAACTTTGGTTCCTGTTTGTTAAACTGGGAATCACTGGAGGGTTTCAGAAAGTCCCTTCAGTTTTGAAACAGTTTCAGATGATCAGAGGAGATGGTACTCAGCTGTGTGGGAATAAGATTCAGATCAAGAAACATTTGGTTGTACTCACGCGCTGATAAGGCAGTTTAAGGACACACAACTGAGAGGGTTTATGCGCTGTAGGTGAGGAGAGAGGCTGACTCATCAGTGATGCCCTTAAAGCAACATCTGGAGTTGTGTAAATGTCATCTCTGCCGCTCTGCTCTGAATCATAACTGTTTATCAGTCAGGTGTATGGAGACGTCAGTGAGGGGTTTAAACACATTGTAGTGCTCAGAAAGAACAAGATAAAAAAGGGAAAACAAACAACATAACGAACATCATATTGGTAAAGTCACGGATGAGGACGATAAAAACAAGCACAAATCAAAATTCACTAAAAACAGAGAAGTATAATCAAAAGCACTGGTTGCGCTTTGGGCCAGGAGGCTCACGAAGCCAAACTTAAATAATTTGAGCCTCTTAATCTTCCACTTCCATTATTTTCTCTTGTAACTGGCAAAAAGTTCAAGGCACTGTCAAAATCGCCTCATGAGGACCATCTGAAAAATGACAGGACATTGATCCCATTTTAATCCTTATGAGTCCGTTGTACTTAATTTACTTTATTGTCTAACCAGGAAAAACAAAACACAGACTAAGAGGTCGCTAAGTTAATTAGTCAATACTAATTCCAGTGGAAACCCAAATTAACTGCTTTCTCATGTCAACTGTAAGCTCCTGCCCCACAGATGATACATCTATAATTCGCAAATGTATTTTAATTGATAATGGTGGGCTGGTCCTTCTTAAAGGAACAGAGTGTAGGACTAAGTGGCATCAAGAGGTCAGGACTGCAGAGTGTAACCAGTTAAAGCCTTTCTTATGGGCTAAGCTTGAACTCCCGGATGGGACATTGTTCAGGAGGTTTTTAGCAGGAGCCTTATATCCACAGAGACCTCTTCCTCTATAACAAACGGACCAGGTAATCTAAACCAGTAAAAACAACAATGAAGCTCTAGTGCTGTAATGCGCCTCATCAGCCACCAACCACAGAGTCATCAGCCACCACCACCACCAGTGTCTGGACTCCATGGAGAGATTAATTCTGCTGCCACTCAGATGTCCCTCGATCACAAAATATCTCCCTCTGGTGTGCAAGCGCCAAACACCTCTGTTAAATCTTAATCAGCATCTGCACTTTACTTTATTCTTCTGCCTCTCCTGATTGAAATAAAGCAGTTTAACATTAAAACTTTGTGTTTTCTGATGCTCATGTGGAGAAGGGGCTGCTTACTACAGTGGCCGATGCAAAAACGTGAAAATGCAAATGGCCCTATCTAGAGCCAGTGTTGTTTGTTTGGTCTGGGCTACTGTAGAACAACATGGCAATCTCCATGGATAATGCCCAACACCCTGTGTAGATATAAACTCTAATTAGGTAACGAAAACCCAATTCTTATTTTCAGGTGATTATACACTAAGAAATCACACTTATTATATTATATTCCATTTCTGCCAATATATACCCCTTAATCCTACAGACTGGACCTTTAAATTAAGTTGCTCTGATGGAAGACAAAGGCGTCATATCACTACAACAACATGCTCCTCACTCAACTGACTGAAAAGCCTTCAAGATAATCAATCAAAAAAAACCTGTGTCTGGTGGCATAATTCCCTGCATTAGCAAATCACACTGTCAAACTGTTTCCTGCTCTTCTGTCGGAAGCACTTTTGTGAACTCTCACTGGGACTTTGGTATTGTTCAGTTTGGACCTTTCCATGTTTTTGCGTCTAAGTGACTGATCCTGTCTGTTCGTTATTGCCTTCCTGCAGCAATTCAACTTCAGAGATGTCAGAACGAGACTTCCTCTTGACCTAGACTTAGACCCAATATCAAACAAACTGCGAATCAGCGCAAGGTGTAGGTTTCCATAATGTTGTCAGACACCTATGATACCAATCTGAGCCTGTCAGTGGCAAAAACAGGTACTTTTAGTCAATGTACATTGACGGTGCATAATTGCCCATAGTTTTGACATTGCAGCCTGTTTTGTGGCTCCTGGCTGCAGCACTCTCTCTCAGTACTGGACCAGTTTCAAAAATTGTTGTTCCCATTAGTCACTTTGATACAAAAAATGGGAAAATAGGGAAAATAGGCTGCAAGTTAAAAAAATACCAAAGTTTCCCTTTAATTCTTTGCTCAGATTGTTTGACAGAAACTTTAGTTCAAGTTGGTTGTAAAAACACTGCAGCTGGTGCCACACTGGGTGGGGTTTTAGTTATATGTGTGTTTTTGTGTTTGAAAGATTTACTGTATGAAATATGTTCCCTAAAAATGCTGACAAGGGCTTGAGAACTGGTTTGTTTCCAGTCCTGCCAGTTTCAACTTGGCTTGTTTTTGTGTTTTAACCACATTAGAGCAACAAGAGTTAAGAAAAATATAAAGTTTTGACTGTCCGCTGAAACCCAGACTAATAAAATGTAGGTTGACGCCGATCAATTTTATTGATATAGCCCAAAATCCAAAATCCAAAATGTAGTTCAAAGGGTTTTATAAACGATAAAACATCAATTCAGATGAGATAAAAAAAATTATTTTTTAACATTCCTCCAGGACAAGGAGATGGAAATTATTGCTTTTGTTAAAAAACAATGCATATTTTTGTAAAATCTGATCAAAATGTTGCATTTAAAGTCTAATATTGGGATAAAAACAATAAAAATCAGCATCTCAGCCAAACCATATGCTCCCAACATTCCTGCTTTGCTTCACAACGTATCATAACAAAGAGAAACTGGCTGCAGATTTGACATCTTCAAAGCAGCATGAAACACCAGGCGCACGTGTCTCTGTGCAGGCGTGCACAGGATGGAAATGAGGTATGCACCGGGGAATACAAGAGCCCCAGCTGTTCAGCTGCTGCGCCTGCTCTGGGTTTGCTTTAATGGACACAGACCTTTAAACTGTTTACTCTGGATCTCAACACAAGTTTTACTGCAGTGTTCACAGGCCGAAGGGGTCGGACTACTCTCACCAAACTTGTGACAAACTTCTCACTATTAAGTGTTGGATCACCATAAACACTGTGTGGGGTTTTAAAGGGAACACCCAGAGATGATTTAGAGAAGAGTCACTCAATTTCAGAGTGATTTGAGGGATTTCAAAAGGCTGTTTGAAAATGGGTGCTGACAAAAAACAACTCTATCTGCGTAAACTCAGTCAGTCCTGGATTTTGTTAAAAACATTTTCTCCGTGAGGGTTGATGTCTGTGTCTCCTCACTGATTATAAAGTCAGACAAACTCTCTTCTTCTGTTTCTAGTTATGGGAGAAATCATTGTTCACCTATGCAAAGAAAGATACTATTCAATCATGTAATCATTTACAATCATGTAGTATTTTGTCACCTTGATCGTCTGTACTGTCATTTTATGATGGTGGTTTATACATCCAACATCTATAAACCCTTTTACTGTTAGTAAACAGTATAACGGTTTTGGTGGGCGGGGCTTAGCTAGAGGCAAAACAATTCTCCACAGACATTAGCCAGCGCTAGCTAGTGAGTTCTGCTGGCTTGTTCAGGACAATGGAGGAATTTGAGGCAAGTGGTGCATTAAGAAATATTAACTCCGAGTGGCAGAGCACATTATGGCACAAACTTGACCTTGAAAATTCGGAGTGCTGTCGGAATGTACCATTCAGTTATCCAGAGAGCACCGCACTTTCAGAGTGGCAGAGCGCACTCTGGGCACTCTGTCTGGGGAAACGGAGCAGCAGAGCACCGAGCGGAGTAAATGTATGACTGACTTAACCGTAGGTGAATTCTTATGGAAATATGACGCTCTGTTTCTTTGACCAACAGGGCTCTCATTTTAACGTAGAGTGTCAGACTGAATTTACGAACGCACCATGTCAGGTCACTCACTCTACGAGACCACAAGTGTTACTTGAAGAAGTAAAAACTGACCAACAGGACCAGACTGGCCGACCCGTATGCTCTCACTCAGTGGATGGATGATTTGACAGGACTGCTGAAGGTGGGATGGACGGCTTTGTGGTTGATTACCAGTCTTACAAAGGAGGATGACACTTTAACGGTTTCCTCCAGTTTATTTTGTTATCAAAGCTAAGGTTAGCCTCACAGAGAAATCCAATATTCCTTTTAATACCAATCCAAATTTCTGATTAGGTGGACATGTGTTCAAGACATTCAGTTTCGGATTTCAGGGATTGCGTAATTCACACTCATTATACGCATTGCTTCTTGTAGCAAGGTTGATGTCTTGAACCCCAAATTGCTCCCAGTATGTGTATGACAAAAAGACACAAGTTACTCTGGACAAGCACATCTGTTATTCGATGCCGTGTCATGTACAAATAAATATTTCACGGGGAATATAATGACATTTAGACATAACTTAGTTAATGTATTCCTAAAGGTAAATCTGGGTCTGAGAAATACCCTGAAAGCCTTAAAAGATGTTCTGAATTTAAAGAAGTTAAACTAAAAAAACGGTGGTTGACTCATCTGAAAAGATATATTTGAATTCCAGATTGTTTTAAATTGAATCCAGCCGTGATGTTAGTCACTGCTGTTGTCTGGAGGTCGTCCCCTGGAACAAAGGCATGTTTTCCCCCAATTTTCCAGACTCATTGGTAACAACTCTGCCTGGACAGAGACTCTGCATGATGTAAGGCTGACTTGGTGAATGAAATAAAATGGAGAGAGGGAGAGAAATAGGGGTAGATGGATATGACCTCTGAGACTCTTTCCTGACGACATCTGGCCTGCATGTCTTTCCCAATAAAAGCTTAATATTAATCCCTGCAGCATTTTAGGGCACTGTCCAGGTACACACAGCAGGGCTGTTGGAGTTAGCAAAAATCAGATCAGAACTACTTCCATCAGTAAATTTCACCCTGGATATGTGCTGTGGGCAAACTAAATTTTACAGATGTCCTGCTTCGATTGAGACATCAAAGAATGATCTAAAGGGAAAGTACCCTCCAATTTATAATAAAAATATTATCTTATCCAGTGGTTCCCAACTGGTCCAGCCACAGGGCCCAGATTTCTTCTTAGTTATTAGTTCAAGGTCCACACAGTTTAATATGTTCTGCGTCATACTTGTGTCCAGCTAATTTGCTGTCTCTTTTAAGCAGCTGTCTGTTAGTCACTAACTCTACAGCAGGAATACGCACCACAAAATAAAAGCTCTGTGCCCGAAATTCACTGTACTTAAAAATAAAGTGTGTTTTGTACAAACTTGATATGTTTGCGAGTCACTTGTGGTCCATTCAGAATGGACCTGTAACCGGGACTGATCACCCAACGCCCAAATGGAAGGGGGACCCTAAAAAAGCCTGGAAAAGAAATTTTGGTTTTGTTTGCACTTTTTGAAAAATTCTAAGGAATTAGTGCAATAACTAAATTAAAATTGTCTAAATATTTGGTTGAAAGACTGATCTTTGTCAAAAGATATGGTGGAAGCTCTCTGAGGCTTCTCTCAGCCCTGGCAAGTCCGCCCCTGCACTTGGATTTGTCTCTAAAAGCAGCTAGAGCTGAGTGACCGACTGCTTACGCTGCTGAAGCACCAAAGTACAGGGGCAGGGGCCCACAGAGATTGCTTATGCATGGGGCGCACTACGACACTACTTCACTTTGTACCTTTTCTTATACTTTCATTTTATTTTTACTTTTCTGTTCTTTTATAAAGGTCTTGTATAGTTTTGCTGCATATTGCACTACATGTTTACACCTTCTTTTGTGTATTGTTTTTGTACTTTGCACCCTTTATGTAGTCTGAATGTTGCATTATTCACTCTTTTTGTTTTGCACCAGGATCAGGAGAAACAGTTTTGTTCCTCTATGTACTGTACTGCACTGTATACATCTTAAAGCAATAGGGGTTCAGTGACTTGTTCATGAAGAATTTGACATTTGAATGGAAGGAGAAAATGACCAACACTGTACAGACCAACATTACAGACATGACGTATGTGCATTGCGTGTGTGTTGACCATCTCATACCCTGTCCAAAGCGTCCTGTCTTATGGACTTCAGCTGCTCCTGCGTAACCCAGCATCCTACACACTACGTCTCCATCCTTTTTGTCCCAGACGTCGTCACACACTGTCCCCCAGCGACGTTCATGGAAAACCTCCACACGGCCTTCATGAGGACCTGACCCATTCACCAGCCGCACCAACGTCTCCTCCACTGCAACACACACACACACACACACACACAAGCATGCATCAACATAATGATCTGAGTATGCAAATCATGATCTGGCATTTAATCACATTTGTTTCTACTATTTGAAGTGTTTGCAGACAGTTTATTGACTCCACTGAGTCTCCATGCAATAAAATGTTTGTAGCAAACAGCATCATGTTTCTTCGAGTGCAGAAATGCTGAGCCTTTATTATTAATTCCAACATGACTACACTGAAAGAACACAGGACTCTCTTTCATCCGGCGCTCGCTGGCGAGACTTTGAACTCAGATTATTTTCATTGTGAGTGTTTATGAGTTTAATTAAGCCCTGTAAATCAAACCAATATGAAAACATGCGGAGATGAAGACGTTATTTTCAACATGCTGCAACAGAATTTATTTTCCATCAACCACAGAAATACACTTTGATTCAAAAGCAAAAACAAATACAAATATTCCGAACTGAACTTTTTTCTTTCTTCCTCTTATGTAATAAAATTTACAAAAATATCGGTTCTGAAGTTCTTGCCAAATCCGACAGCACACTGGATGAAAGAGTTTGAAATTCACAACCTTCTTCTTTGCAGCTTTGTGCATCTGTGTGCATTTATCCAGTCCCCTTGCTGGACAGAACTCCAGGAAGTCACTGCTCCCAGTGAAGAAATAGTTGGGCACCCTTGTAAAACCAAGTTGTAAAACCAACTTTTTTCAACAAATGAGATATGATGTGTTTTAGTGAGTGTGCTAGTGGGTGGATAATGTTTTATCTTTATCCTGTCTAATCTTTGTGCTAAGCTAAGCTAACTAACTTCTGGATGTAGCTTCATATTTCTTGTAAAGATGTGAGAGACTGCATCAATCTTCTAATCTCTTGGCAAGAAAATTAGTGTATTTTCAAAAATGTCAAACTATTCCGTTAACAACCTAGAGTAATGGGCAGCCTCTAGCTCAGTGAGTAGAGTGTCCGCCTCCATTGCAGTGGCCTGGGTTTGATTCCAACCTGCGGCCCTTTGCTGCATGCCATCCCCATTCTGTCACTCTCTAGCTGCACTGTAATTAACGCAATAAAATCCCCAAAAAATAATCTTAAAAGAAAAACAAACAAACAAACAAGAGTATTATGGGGATACAATATCAAACACAGAAAAATACCAAAATAATTGACACAAATAACCAGATATTTTAGAGAAGTTTAAGAGGTTAAGAGGTGAGGAAATAAATAATAAATTAGAAAATGTCATTGGTATGAACAGGGAAGTGAAAAGGGTCTTGTGTTCGTATGTAACAGAGATAGCAACCTGAAACAGTTATAGCAGCAAAAATACAAAGCGAGTAACAAAAAAAAAGGATAAAAGAATACATACGTTCTTTATGTTTTTTCAAAGCTACAATAAGCTGCTTCTGCTCTTGTGTTTCTGAACCAAAAATCATTTTTTCCTCATGAGAGCTTCTTGCTGTTAGACATTTGCTAATATCTAGACTCAACTAGAATTATGGTTTTATGGCTGCATGGTTGTATGGCCCACTCTACCAGTGAAGTTGCAGGTACAGTTTATATCCATGTCTGTCTAGACTCAAATGTAGCCCTGACAATGCCTTAAATATGGATGCTGCTGCAAAGAGGCTACACATTTCAAAACAAGGATGCTTTACACAAATCCTCAGTCACAGCTGATCTATACAATCAGCACAGTTTCAAGATGGACACCCAAGGTTAGTGTCACAACTTCAGTATCTGACCAAATGTCTCCCCCTCTCACAGTGAAGCTGACCTTTGACCTTTTGGATATAAAATGCCATGACTTCATCATTTTATCCTGTTACACATGAGCTTGAGTTATGGCCAATATGTTTTGCAAGGTCACAGTGACCTTGACCTTTGACCACCAAATTCCAATCAGTTCATCTTCAAAGCCAAGTTGTGCCAGAGTTGAAGAAATTCCCTCAAGGCATTCATGAGATACCACATTAGTACGTACAGGCAACCCTAAGACATAATGCTTCCAGCCATGGCTATCGCTGGCACAGAGGCTAAATAAAAGCAGGTGAAAATCTTGTTTCGGCCATGACAGCCTCTGTTTGTAGTTTTCCCTGCGAAGCATAAAGCAGTTGAGAAAACCTGATTTTAACACAGTGTATATAAGGTTGTGTAAAAAAACTATTAAAATGCAATGTGTAAACTCTCAACAGTGTCCTGTTTGAGCCTGAATTCAGGGAAGAGAAGGAGGGCTCAAGAACTAACCTACAATCAGAATGAAGTCTGTATGTGTGTGTGTGTGTGTGTGTGTGTGTGTGTGTGTGTGTTTGAGAGTGTGTTTGTGTTAGCAGAGGCTTCATGGATCCACAGTACATCTCGTATTCCTGAAAGTATGCAGCAGCTGTACTCGTATAATTGACTTGATTTATCACCTCTCAGAGCACAGAGAGAAAATAAGAAAGAGGGGTAAACACACACACACACACAGTGCTACACTATCCTTGGTGTTAAGACATGCATGCTGACGGAGACCTGTTGACAAAGCGCTGGAGAGTAAAGCCAGACACATTATCTCGACAGGATATTAGTCTCATCAGACCATCATAAATTTGAACTGTGTACCATTTAACTCTCATTAGACAGTCAAGTTCTTTGCACTCACTAGCCCATCATAATTTAATACCTACCATAACATTATACTATCATATCTGTTGCACATATTTGTTTCATATTCTAACAGAAATCCAGCAAATTAAAACCAGAAATTAAGATGTACTTTTAACCTCTCGTTGCTCTTTTTTTCTTCAGACAACACTGAAAGAGACCTAAAGAGAGGAAAGCAAGGGATGCTAGAATAGCACATACTTAGTTTTCAACAAGGAATGAGTAATTGAATACTCAATTACATGAAACAGATGTTGAATCTATTTGTTCACTTGTTAAGTACAAACAGTCCCTCTGTTCTAAATTCCTGTGAAGTTGGGTAAAAACTGGAAGACTGTGCTGGCATGAAGATAAATAAGTGTCACAGTCATTAATACCACTTTTAACGACTTTTCTAAAATAGGATACTTTACTTTTAAATGTCCTAACATGAACCGCCTAGGTCACCACACCAAAATGTGCTCCAGTAACAGCAGGAAAGAAAAGTCTTTCCACAAACTTGATGCATATTTTTGCTAAAGAGTGATTTATAGTTATGGTAGTATGGAGTTCATTCAGTCATTGCTAGTCCTTACTGAAAAACAAATTTACATTTGCTGCTTTAATCGTGTCAAAAATTTTAGTGGTTCTGGTGAAACAGGATACAAATACAGTAGAGTTCCTCTTTCACCAGCTGAACTGATGAATTAGTGTTAATATTGGATCTTATTTAAATTGTTTGCTCTTTGCTATGAGAAAATAGTGCTAACAAATGAATCTCGTTGCCAAACAGCATGTTTAAATCAGACACAAGTAGGCCTCCTCGATTTGTCTTTTTCAGTCTTGGCTTAAAATGCATTTTAATTTCTAGTGCTGAAGCCTATCCAGCTGACATTGGGTGAGAGGCAGGGTACACCCTAGACAGGTCACCAGACTATCACAGGGCTGACACATAAGCCCTTTTTAAACAGAAATTGTGAAAATTTGCAGGAAAGCCCAATCGGTCTTCTTTCAGCATTAGCAGTATAAAAACAAAATTGGGGAGTGCAGCAAAATGCCGCCAACCAACCTTTGTTTATACAGAATGTGCCTTTTTCAGGGCAATGGGGGACGTGAGCAAGTAACAAAACGTGTAGCTCAGCATGTGATGTATACAGTGACGTGGGAGGGAAGCCGCGGCTGGTCAGTCCTTCTGTGATTCTCTCTTAAGTTGGCCCATTCTTCACCGTTCCCATCATCTGACAATTAATGGCCACTTCGTTTGCGAGGACAAGGAGGGGGCGCAATTCCTTGTCTCCCCAGTTGCTCATCTTTACAGTGTTTGTCAGGTTTGTGTTTCCCTCTTGCTACTAGCTGCTCGCTAATTCCTGCTATCAGCTGTTTCCTGTTTATCCACCACCAGTGGGTCACACGTGCAGCGTCAACAACAGCTCCTCCCACAAGTCATCAACAGCCCCTCCCGTTGCGGAAGGCTGTCTCAGTCTTTTTAACATAAAAGGGTTCTGCCAATATGTCTACCCTACGAGGTGGAACATTGGGCACCTCAGATCAATTCGCCAATCCAGCTCTGTGAGTCTAAACGCTCGCAGCTTGCCAGCAAAACGGCCCAACATTCGTGGAAAATCTGGCAGTGTAAAAGGGGCTATAGAGACAGACAACCATTCACACTCACATTCACACCTACGGACAATTTAGAGTCACCAATTAACCTGCATGTCGTTGGACTGTGGGAGGAAGCTGGAGTACCTGGAGAAAACTCACACTGACATGGGGAGAACATGCAAACTCCACACAGAAGGGCTGCCCTACCCAGAGGTTTAAACCAGGAACCATCTTGCTGTGAGGCAGCAATGCTAACCACTGCACCAACGCACTGCTGTAAACTAGTTTAAGTTAATTTTGTCGGTTTAAAAATCATCATTCACTCACAGATATTTCCCAAGACTTATCTGATGTTTTACCTCAATGTGTCGTTCAAATTTGTTGCCCATATGTCTGACATTCTGACTTGTTTTTTCAGACCTGGCGGGCTCATTTTACTTAAAAATGTAAGATTTTTACTGGCGGAATTTGTACTGATTTGGCCATAAAATGTCAATTAATATAAACTTGCTTTAGCAGCACTGGTAGTTACGCTGTCTGAAGTACCATAAGCACCAGTCATGCTGGGGCTGCATGTGGGAGAAGTCTGGTAAACTTTCCCCATGTGGGTGTTGCATCAGCATGCTGGGTGCCGTAAAACAAGCTATGTTAAATGTTGCGAGAGTAAACGACACTCACATTCAAGTTTATTTGTAAGCTGATCAGTTCACTGTTAACCAAAATATGAGCACATTCAATGTTCAAACACCACACTAAGTGGAGCTTACTTTTTACTATA